GATTGATTAAGCTTTCTTAGACCTCCCTGAACGTGTTACAATCCTTACTTTGTGCTGAAAGTGTTTAAATCTACCCAACCAAGTCAACTTGCAAGCTTCGGTTATGGAGTTTAGGGGATGAGGATGATGATGTTATAGAAGTGTAACAATGGTATGGACAAGTTCTAAATGATGATTTTGAGGTGTTTGGATGGTTAGCTTGAAAAGATATGGCAAGGGTGGTGAATTTAAAAGTTAAGGTCTTCAAGGTTCAAAAATGGAGTTTTTGATCCAATTCTGAATTTAAGGGAGTTTAAAGGTGTTTTAGAGCTGTGAATTCCTGTCTTATAAGTGCAAGGATGACCTCTATTTATAGGGAAAGGTTGGAAGGAATGAGAACATTAGTTTTGAAAGTTGAAGAGTTATGGTTTGGTTGGAAGTGAACTTTGAAGTTTCTTGCAATATTATGGTGCTAAGACATGGTACAACTCCTCTAGGGTGGTTCACAAGCTTAGAGATTTTGCTTCTGAGTATTCTTGTTGAGTGTGATCAGAAGAAGCAATTGAGAGGCTCAAGGAGAGTGGACTTTGCATAAAGCATGCTTTTCCAAAATGGAAGTGTTACCTTTCTCCCTTAAATGGAAAGTAAACTTGGATAAAGCTTGAATACTTGGATAATGGCTCAAAAGTTTGTGTAATCTTCTGATTAGAGATAGATTTACAAGTTTAGAGACCTGAAAAGTGAGATCTCTAAGCATGGTGTGAGATATGGTTACGAGTTCATCACAAAAAATGACCTATAATTCAAGAATGAAATGCCAACTTCACGTCTTCGAATCTCCTAGCTCAAGCATGATCTTTTTATTCCCTTGGACATTTTGGAAAGCTTGAAACATGGCCAAGAAGTTGAGAAGAAAAAATTGACCAAAACTTGTTGAAATTTTTTCTAAGTGTTAGATAAAAATATCACAACTTCATGGGCTCATATATCTTAATCCAAGCACTTCTTGAGGATCATCCCACATTAACAAAGTTGTAGAATTCATCAATGCCTACAACTTTCATGTTGAAAGTTTTATTTGAATCAACTTGGATCTTAGTGAAAAATGGCCATGAAGTAATGATTTTGTTAAGAACAAAATACTTAAAAAAATTCTAAGTGTTGGAAAATTTTCCAACTTTTGACTTTTGTTGACTTTATTTATTTATTTTTGATGATCTAGTTTGATAGTTCTGAATATCTTCATGATTCTTGATTTTTGAACTCCAATGTTGACCAAAAAGTCAAAGTTTGACTTTTGTGTGACTGTTGACTTTTCATCAATTGATTCAATTCTTCAACTATTAATTACTTATATCTTTGGAAATGTCTCGAGCCATGTAATTAGGTCAAGATGTTGTATTTGAGCCCTTAAGATCATGCTTCAAGTCATTAAGTAATGCACTAGATCAAAAGTCAATGATCAGTCATCTTCAATCAAAACCCTAATTTGGCAATTTCTTGACCTTTGATGATTTGAGGGATTTCCTTGAGGAATCATGGTCAACCCTTGATCAAATGATGAATATCACCTTAAAATGTTGATGTTGACAAAAAATCTTAAAGTTTGACTGTATGTTGACCATAGTTGACTTTTTACCCAATATAATTGATTTTCAATCATCTGAACCATTGACTGAGCAAACATGTGATGCAAGACTTGAAAATTGACATAAGCATTATTGATGACCTATGATGAACCATGAAATTAATTTGAGACCTTTGCAACCCAATCTTCCTTGTGAAGCATAAAACCCTAGTTGAAGACCCTTGCTTAGGAGGAGGTTTGACCACTTAACTCTTAAGTGGCTTTGAGTATTTGAGACCTTTGTGAGTATGTTTTGAAAAAAATGGGAGGAAAAATTTTGGGGTAGAACATCGTCGGTCAAATTATCGACGTAATATGATTCGAGGATCTGGATCCAAGCAACTAGCTTCGCCCGAGAATGTAAGTCAGCGACTCCTTCAGGTTCTCCGTCCACAGGTTACATGAAAGCCTTTAAATCGGTGACCTCATTTTCCAACCGTTCCCTCTAGAGCAACAGGGAATCCCTTTCCTCATAAGCTTTGACCATTTTTTCCTTCTCCCTCACTAACTCGTCGGCTTGCACCCGAAACTTCTCCTCGCTCTGCTCGAGGTCACTTTTTAGCTTCTGTGTCTTCGCCTGAAGAGTCGCCTTCTCCGACTCCAATTCCCTCACTAGCCAAGAAGAGATATCTCCTTCACTTGCAAGGACACAAACCATCTCCGCGACCTTCATCACACCGACCATCCCGAAAGCCATGTGCTTCCTTCGACTCTCTTCATCGAGGCGTCTGATAATATCAGACTCAGCATGAGACATTGTCGGAGGGAAATCCTCGACGAAATATTTTTCCACGAAACAAGGGGGAAGGTTGAAGGCCTGGGCAGTCACCCCCTCCTCAGTCGCATTTGCAAGTCCACCGTCGGGGCAACCTCTCTTCTTACTCAACACAACTATGTGTTGGGGGGTGTCGCGGGCACCTAATGACCCACTCGAACCATCCCTGACCGGCTCTGAGACCGAACCAAGGCGTGTGGGCTAGTGCGGCTTCACCAACCTCTTGTGATTCTTCTTTTCCTGGGTCAGCTTCAACAGTCGTTCACGATGCTCCGCCATGTTACCCGCAAAAACAAAAATAATATCATCGGGTTAGTCTCGTTAAAAGGACATAAGCAAATAGCTCAAGAAGTAAAAATATAATAAATCACGCGAGCAGAAACATAGAAGGTTCACGACATGCCCGTAGGTTTGACATTCAACGAGTGCCTTGGTGTTGATCGGGCGCGCCTCGAACGTCGGTTCGCCATCTTCATCAAGAATGTCATGTCCTTCCCTCGTGACCTACCTCGAGGGAAAGAACCCATCGACGAATCGGTTAAGGACACCGGAGGACTCTTCATCCTCGGCACTCATACTGCCGTCAAGAGTATGGTAATGGCCAGGATTATGCTCGTAGTGGCCCGAACACCTGGGGATAGGGAATTTTGAAATTCGCCCAATCTCTGGATTGCCGTCCCCGTCATAGCATACCTCCCCGTCTTCATCTACTACTTGAACCGGGTCGAACATGACATCTACGGCCGCCTGAGATGAGGGTTGTACGACGTACCATCTATCCTTAAAGTCACGAACAGAATCCATGTACATCCTAAATAGTCTCTTCGATTGTTTTAAGGAAACCCAGCTATGTTTCCCACCCCTAGATTGTCGTTAGAGGTGGAAAACCCTAAAGAACAAAGGAATGGTCGCCCCGATCCTCAGGAACCGACAAGTGATTTCGGAAGCCCGGGTGAAGGCGATCGCATTAGGATGTAATTGAGAGGGTTCCAAGATCAAATGGTTAAACACATCCATCTGAAAATCATTAAAGAAAAGACGAAGCCCCAAGTCTTTGAAGACAACCTCATACATAGGGAAGCGATCCTCCTCGAACTCCGTGCATATCCTGGCCGTGGGAGTCGGTCGCAGGATCGTGAAGTTCCAATGAAAACCTTCCATATCACTGACATGCTTGACAACGGTATATGTTTCCCTTCTTCTATAATTATAGACCGAAGTTATCCCTCTAGGTTCTGGCCCGACCCAGGACAACACAGGGTCATCGATCGTGTCGACCAAATGGAGCCCTTCCTCGGTTGTGCTTGTCTCTTCGGCATCTATGTGCTCAGATGATTCGGGAGTATCAACCATTTCACCTATAAAGCATAGGAAACCAGTGAATTCGACAGCAAAATCACATCCACCCTTCCACCGCAGCATGGGCGAAAGGGGAAAATTGCGTCCATACTAGGTCATGATCACTCGTGCAGTGGAGAACATACATGACCCACGATCAACACATGGAATTTATACAAATCTCGTAAGACCACTCAACAATGATAATAACAAAACACATATTTCATGGGTAACAGGGGCACGGGATAAATATCGCGAGCATCTCCATGAATGCTGCAAGGAACATACGAATTTTCTGGATAAATTCATGAGTTCATCGGGGAGTATATAAATTCCCCGCGCAGAATTCATGAATTTCACGGGGAACAGATGAATGTCACAGGTATTTCCATGAATTTCGCAGAGAAGAAATGAATATCACGAGCCAACTCGCAAATGTTACGCATGAATGTATGAACGCCCGAGCAAAAAAACCCGATAAAGAAATTCTATAAAGAATCATCAATATATAGGTGAAATGAAATTTTGCTTGACTTTTTCCAGATATGTATCTCCAGTTTCTTACATTTCCAATATATTTCTTACATTAAACAAGAGTGTAACAAAATTTTGCTCGACTTTTTCCGAGGGCATATTTGATTTTACATAGGGTATTTTTTTTTCCATATATAGGGTGCCATGAGAAATTCTCCGGAGCATAGATTATATCTTATACTATATCCACAATAAAGCAATGATCTAACAGTCAAAGCTAACGTGAAACTTGCAACAAAAAAAGAAGCTTTTCCTGGTAAAGTGAAGCACGTTTGGCAACAAATTGCAAAGCTTTCTCACTAACCAAAACAGATTAAATAAATACTTTAGCACTCTCTTTTGTAAGTCTATTCATATTAAACATAGAACAATTGAAACAATGAAGAAAACCTCATACATATATAATAAACTGTGAATTATATAATCATTATTCCCCTCCTAAAATTTTCTCCATCTGTCAAAAGATGCAAAATATCCAACAGATGGTAAATTGTTTTACTCACTTCATGCCAATAGCATGCAATCTCATGAACATTATGGATCATTCATTTTATCACCCATCTTCCATTCATGACCCACCTTATATAGTTTTGATTCTAAAATATTTATATATTTTTTTATAATTATTTCTAGCTATATTTTTTTGTATTAAATTGAGGGGACACCTTCCATAAAACACACATAAATGTCCTTTTTTGGGGAAAAGTAAACTTATGGAATATGGTAAAAATTTCCAATGCTTCATAACTACAAAAGCTCTGATCCACAGCTTTTGTTTAGCTTCCTCCTCTTAGCATCTGGACTACTATTATGGGAAGAAGAACATGGACCATCACCACCATTGGTTGTGTCATCACTCTTGTAGCTGAAGCACAATGTGGTTTCCAACACACCTATTGGACTTTGTGGCACACTAGGGACAGATGCACTTGAATTCTTGCCAGTTACAATACTGTTCAATGACATCACCTTTTCAATACACTTCATTAATCTCTCCTGCATAATAACATCGCATACTTTATCACATTATTACATAAGCTATCGAGTAATCAATAAATCATAACTAGTTGTGACTAAAATTCGCACTATAAAGAAAGTTTACGCAGAAAGTGTATGTGAATTAAAGTCATTTCTATTCGATATAGATTATGTTGTTCTGAATATGGAATGGACCACAATCTTTACCTTTTCCATGTATCGAATCAGAGTCGAAATTGATTTGCTAGCATCAATTGCTTGGGTTTCCCCTACAACATATGTAGCCACTGCTGCTGCAATCTCTGATGGTTTGAATTCCAAGAATTCAATTCCTGCATTGAATTCACAACATCTAAATTAATCAATGATGCAACAGATTGGTTATTCTAGCATTTTAACAATTCATTTGTGAGATGAAGTAATGGTAGGAAATGTTTATGTACCTTTAACGGTGTTTGATATGAGTTTAGTGGATTGTGAAATGGAAGAACTTAATGAACTCTTATTACTATCATTAATCTTAGTAAGGAAATATTCGATGAATGAGAAAGGAGTAATTGATTGCATTCTCCACTTCAATGTGCTTAGTACAAGAAGTTCCATTCTCTGAATAGTTTTCGCTTCAAATAGAAACTTAGATTCACCAATCTGCGCACAAGAAAAAGATTAACACATGCAACATGAATAGATTGTTTTAACAAACACCCGGCATTGAAAAAAAGGCAAGTTCCTAGTCCTACCTGCAAATCAAGAATCATAGGAACATCAGTTTCCTCTAATTTGGCTGCCAAAGACAAACAAGCTATAGCCAACAATTGCATTGTCCAAACTCGACCTTTCTGCGCAATTACAAACATAACATTAGATCAATCAAAACCAATGCAGGACACATAAACCTGCTTCTCTTCATTCATTAACTTACTGGTAATTCATATGCAGAAAGGAACCGATCCATGTAATTAATGGATAGATAAATGCATAAAGGACCGAAACCGAAATGGGCACCAACCTATAAATCACAAAGAAAATAGCAATTAGATGAACATGAATCTGAACTTGTCTCAATCCAATCCAATCTAATCCAACCCAAACTAATCCAATCCAATCCAATCCAATCCAATCTAATCTAATCTAATCAATTCATAAATTGCATGAACAGAAGAAACCATTCAATTGATCATCTCAGCAAAAATAAACAGAATCCAAGACTAATCAAGCAATGGATCATCATCAACCACAGAAAATGGTATGCATCCATAAAGAGACACTTCATTAAACCGATGTTCATTTTCCATTTCAGACCCATCAAAACAAATCCAAAAAAAAAAAACCATTTTTATCACTTTCAGGATCAAAAACATTAAAATCAACAACCTTAACAAAGATTCAAACCGAAAAACATGAAACAAAAACCAACCTTTAGAATCCAATCAATCGCTTCATTTCTAGCACCAAAATCCAAATCCCCAAAGTGAAACCTATTAAAGTAATCCTCACCAACCCATTGTTGACATTCCTTTTCCAACATCAGGCCAAAACACTCCTCACTCTGTAATGGCAACTCATCAGCAACGCCACCAGAGTCATCTCCACCCCTCCGATGATCGAACCTCGGACGCCACGAATCCTCGTACACCTCAACAGTACCCTGATTCTCACCATCATCGAAAACACTGGTATCCTCAGTGCAAAGAAGGCTAGAAGCACAATCAAAACTGGGTGCCATTTGAACAACCCTTTTACTTAAATTAGATAAAAATGAAATCTTTTTTAGATTATAGATTTGGGTTTGTGTTATTAAGACAGAAGAAGCTGTGTTGGATTGAAATAAGAACAAAATGAGTGGTGATGGTGTGGCCAGTAACACACAGTGAGGGTCTCTGGTTTCGAAGTTTCGCTGAATAGACAAAGTGCAGAGAGAGTGAGTGAGAGAGAGAGAGAGGGGTTTATGAAGGAAGTGATGGCTGCTTTTTAGGGTAAAAGGTGAGTGGGGTTCAAGGACAGAGAGACGGGTCTGTACAATGTGGATCGTTGCGTATGTTTAATCGTATAAAACAAATTACTATAATTAATTACTATAATTACTATTTCATTGGTAAAAATGGAAATGTTACTACTTGTTCTCGGTTTAAAAAAAAACAGTCAAACTTATGTCAAACATTTAATCAAAAGGAAAAACAACATGTTCACTAGGTTAAAATGAACTAGTGTATGTTTTTCTTTTTAAGTTTTGAGGTGAAAGTTATATAAATTCATAGACATGGAACTTAGGTTTGGTCCAATTCAGAGACCATAATGTTTTTAGGTATTGGTTTATGATTTTTTATATATTATTTTTTATCAATGAGTTTTGATATATTTGAAGAATACACGATGAGTTTTTATATTATTTTTTATCAATGAGTTTTAATATATTATTTTTTAATTATTTTAAGAAGTTTTTAAATTTTAAATATTGAGATGATTTTGTTAGAGATATTTTATTTGATATATTTCGGTAGATGGTAAAGAAAGATGTGTTGGTGAATTTTTTGAGTGACCTATAGAAGGAGAAAAAGAGATTGACACTTAAATTATCAGATGTTCTGATGTATAATTGTGTAGGAGAAAAACATACATGAATTTGACTAGGGTTTTTTCACATATAGGACTGAGGACACATACATGAATTTGACTAGGGTTTTTCCACATATAGGACTGAGGGCTAGAGGTTTTGATGTTTTTGTACCATTTACCTTTGACATTTTTGTCTTTCTACCATTAGAGGTAATGAATTCTCCCACTTACTCTTCTGGTCCCTTTCTCGAATCAAAGGCTCTCTCTTTCTCGAACCAAAGGCTCTGATACCATTGTTGGGCGGAGATACTAGGAGCAAAGGTTCTGATACCATTGTTGGGGGAAGATACTAGGAGCATCGAAACATAGTGTTACCATTGTTGGGGGAGATACTAGGAGCATCGAAACATAGTGTAGGAATAAACACATTTGTGAGAGACACACCACTTATCCATCTAAAATCTTAAGATGATAGGTGAGTGGGTTCTCCCACTTATATATGTTTAAGTCTCCGCATTCATATCTAATGTGTGACTATTTTCCCACTTACTCACATTTGCTATATTATTCAAACATCTTTTACATAAAAAAATTAATAACTCATATATAACAATTTTGTGTCTTATAAATCAATTGATATAATTTTTAACATAATTGATTTTGTTGTCTAAAAAAATATAGTGACAAATCCAATTAAACTAATTCAATTCATAATTATGCAAAAATATCAAATATAAGAGACTTAGATTCAGATTTGCGACATTTTACTTATTTACTTTTAAATAGTAAAATTTTAGTCAACTAACATTTTAAAAAAAACAACAACACAATTTATTACTAATTCGATCATTTATCCTATTTTTAATCTTTATTATATATAAAAACACTTTCACTCTCGTTTACATTAACCAAACAAAAATTAAACATGCGTGCTTAGGAAAGGACATCATACGGATTAGTGGTTGATTTTGATCAAAAACATTTCTAGTACATGAACTTATTCTTAAAGATATTATTTATATTGTTGTAGGTAATTGAGAACTATTAACTACAAACAAAATACAATAATTCAATTTTATGTGCGGGTACAAGAATTCCACATCAACCCCCTTAATTAATTTTATCAAAACTATATTCATCTAATTATTACTATTCACCTTGATTCAAACAAGTAGAATAAGAAGCCTAATACAATTTCCAAATTTACAAACACAGCGACGGTTGGTCAATTCAATTCATTCCACCATACATTTAATAGACTCCAAATTTTCCACTTCAATTTTCACTACTATATTTCATAAATGAAAATTACCAATGGTAAAAACTGTTAAAGTAAAAAGTAAAAAGTAAAAAAAAAAATATAACAGTGCATGCAGTGTGTTGTATTCTCCTGTGACGACGCGTGTACTACGCTGACATTTGAAGCGTCGTTTCGTTCTTAACTTTTTTTTTTTCTTTCATTTTCTGTATTACTAGTTGTCATTTCCCTCCATCATTCCGCGCCAAATATTAATATTTTTTTCGTTTTATTTCGTATATAGTGTTTAAAAATTTAAATTTCGATGATAATTTGTTAAAAGTTAAATTTTTTATCAGAAATGGAAATTCTTACTTTTAATATACGACAGCGATTTTCGCATGATTGGATCCAATCGCACATGAATTGGGGTAATGTTTCAGATTTTTTTTTTTTTGAATTGAAAACTAATAATGTGAATCAATGATGCTTTTTATCATGATTTCACGAGGTTTATTTTTCACTCAATATCTTGTTTCGGAATTACTTTGCACTTTTTTTTTCAACTGCTCAGCTGGCAAATTTCATCTTTTTTAGTGAAAGATTGGATTTTTTTACAATTTTTTTTTATAATAACTCATTGATAATAATGTTTGATACAACTTGATATATCAATTAACATTTGAATGTTATATATGGATGTGGGTGGATTCAAGCATATTAAAAAATATGATGTGTGATTAAGGATGTTTGTGGGCCGATTTAGTTAGGTTTTGAGAAAATTCAATATTTAAATCGATCAAAAATATATGGATTGATTTGAATTAGATTTTCATGAATTTTTTATAAATATTTTTTCAATAAAATTCAAACCGAACCAGACCAAAAAATAATATATTAGTTTAGATTGATCGGAAAATGCAAAAATATTTTAAAAAAATATTTTATTTATGTCAACTAATTTATCATAATAATATAATAATAATATAAATTTTTTAATATTTTTCGTCAATCCATATAAGTTGTGAATATCAAATTGTATTATCGTAAAATTTTGAGTAATTTCTAACTCTTTAATCATATATCTTAATCAAATGGCTTTATTGACCCTTCTAACTAGGAAAATATATTTCGCTTGAGTTGTAGATTAAGCAGTAACAGATTGTTGATTTGTCTTTCAACTGATAGTCGTTCAAAATAATGTAAACGCAAAATCATGAAAAGATTTTCTAACATCCATATTTTATGCATAGTTTGCATCCATATATCCCTTAAAAACGTCTTTTGCTTGAGTTGTTATTATGCACTTCGAACCACCTTTAAATGAACCAGTCTAATATCTTAACACCAACTTTGTAATTTAACAATGCATTTTTAGTGATATATTTGTAAAAGGCTTAGTAAGGACGGGAGGACTACAACCATCCATGAGAGGTGACTCTGACCTACCGCCCACAATTAGGGATTATCTCACCTTAAATGCCTGCTATTCGCCAAGTCGTGAGAAACGTGGGAAATGACGTTCCTTAGTCAGAAAGAAGTCAGGATCAACATGTTAATCCACGTCTATTTATGAAATATAGATTCAACGGTCCACCAATGACCGAGTGAGCGACCATCGTTCTCAAGGAAAACCCTAACTCTAGGCCTAGAGTCTCTATAAATACTTCATCCCTAACATGAGAAAATAAATCATAACATACTCAAAATATCGCCTAAACACGGAGCTTCTTCATGTGAGTTTTCTCTCTATAGTCAAAAACACCACCTAACATGGTTACTCACCACTGTGAACAAGCCCTACACCACCAGAAAATATTAAGGCCACTAATCATCCCTACCCACGTAGGGATACCATGTAGTATGTACTTTTTGACAAGTACAACATTTGACTCATATTTGCCATAAACCAACCTACTATGCTAATGACATATGCTAAGTCCTATTTACTACAAACCATCTTATACATATGCTTATAACTCCATTTGTATAAGGATTACTCCTATATTATTCTTCTCATCCTTAATAGTTTTAGCATAAAGCATTATAAGCCACTCCACCACTTTCTTCGAATAAATACTTTAAGATAAGAACACTTCACAAGTTCTTGTGGTATTCGTCTATAGAATCCTCTTAAGCCTCACCAAGATTTTTCAACAAAAACTCTATATTGAATATCTCCTTGAGCTTATCAATTTATTTCATGCTGAAACTTATTATCAAGATATTACCGACTTATAGAAGTAGGTAGAGAATGGCTTTCATATTCATCTACAATATGCATACACATTTGTCCTACCTAGTTCTCACAAAACCGTTATTTAGAAAAAAATTAATCAAATCAAGGATACCATTTCTTAGGGGTTTGTTTCAACCATACAAATATTTATTCAAAAAAATACTTATTCAAAAGGAATACCTTAGACTTGTCCTTTACAAAATTTTCATGTTGTTCCATGTAGGTTGTCTCTTTAAGGTCTATGTATAAGAAAAATATTTAAACATCCTTTTGTTTCAACTCTATGTTATATTGATTCACGGTAGTGATATATACCTTTTTGGAACAAATGTTTTATTAAAGGTGAAAGTTTAATTGCAATCAATCCCCTCCACTTATGTAAAGCCCGTTTACCACAAGTCTTGTTTTATACTTTTGGGCTTCACTTTCCTAAATTCCTTCCTCCTTCTTAAAGATCCACATACAACCTACCACCCTTTGTCTCTCATGTAATTTCACAAGTTCTTATTCTTATCCAATATGTATTTCCTTATTCATTTACTTCAACTGTTTCTGACTCGTTTTGCTTTCAAATGGCTCTTTAAAAGTCTTTGATTCTGATTCTTGCAACCCTTCATCCACATTTAAAGTATACAAAATAAGATAAAATGATAAGTTTCATTTTTATTGTTTTTAAGGGTTTGATTTTATCGTT